AAAGAGAGAGAGATCCATTAAAAAATCCACTGCAAAATAAACTAAATAATTGGTGTTCTTGCACATGCTTGTGTGTGTGGACGTGCAGAGGAACATGCGCATGCGCACACACAGAGAGGGAGCCTGTTCACTTTGTGCTGACATGTTGTATTTGCATTTTTGCAGCTGGGCTTCTTACCAGAGACCCACGTGTAGTGGAAAGAAAAAAGCCCGGGAAGGCCAAGACGAGAGAGTTTTCAGTGGGTTAACGGTGAAGAAAGAGTATGCAGATTGCCTCCTCATATTTATCTGCCTTCATTTTTGTTTCTCAATCCAATTTTGTAGCCAAAGTATACAATGTCAGCATGTCATAATAATAATAATAATAAAAATGTGATTCTGTTTTGTGTTTTTACTTTTTTCTAGTTCTATAATTTACATTGAGTCCCATTGTTGTTGAACTAACTAATTGTGATATCTGAATGGAAGCCATGGCCATAGCACCATGAATTTTCTATTCCAATTATATTTCTGATAAACTTACAATTAACTTTGAAACATGGTTTGGGTTTGGATATTATAACAAAAATAGCAGCATTTATAATGTGATGCTCTAGGCAGGTAACAAGTGGGTCAAAAAGAAAACAATCCATATGACAAATAACAACCATATTTCCATTATAATGGCTGCTAGATAGTCACTTAAGGCTTGTGACAGCAGCTTCTGCTCTGACTGCAACTTTGGGCCATCTGTTGATGGAACCTAGAGATCTTCAATTTTTGCAGTTCAAAATTTCACTTTTTTATAGAATTACTCACAACATGAATTAAGATATAATTGCAAAACTTAGGTCATAAAAATCCACTTAAAGTGTGTGTTGGGGCTTCAGTCAATGCTGCAGAAATGCCAGCCCCTTCAATGACTAACAGATTTTTCATTTTTAACATCTAAAAATTCATTTTTTAGAATTATTTACTAAAAGAATTAAGATTTGTTTGCAAAATTTAGGTCCTAAAAGTCTTTTTGAAGTGGTTTCTAGGCCTTCAGTCTACGCTGTAGAAATGCCAGCCTTCTTCATTTCATATGTAATTTTTCATTTTTCTGCAATGCATACAGTTATTATTGTGTGTGCATTGCAGGGTCTGACCCATTGATGGATGTTGATCAATCTGTGACCATGCTGTTTCCATGATTTATGAGTAGTATGGGGAATCCAGGAATAATATCAAAGTAGTTTGGGCTTGCGAAAATTGTCACTGTTTATACTATTAATTAGGGGACTAATCATATGCAATTCAAGTACACCATGTTACGGTGTATAAGGCTTTAGGACCATCTCTTCAAGTCGATTGACTTTTTCAACTTGAAGCTATATATCTTTTTGCCCTCTCTCTATCCCCATTACTTGAGAAAATTTGTACAGCGGGGTTCAACTCGTATAGCTTTAGCTGATGTTTTCGAAATGATTCATCATAACAGTTTCGACATAGAGCAAAAAAGCTATGCCTATGTGAAATTGGGGGTATGTTTTTCAGCTTATTTTTAGGATGAGTTTGTCTGAATTTATTTCACTGAAAGTGTCAAATTTGGGTCCAGTTTTGACTAGGAGTTCTAGTTACATTAAGTTCTAGTTACATTAGATTCATGATTAGGATGTCTAAATAAAGTTATAAATGGGGTTTAAGGCAGGGTTTTGGTTCAGAGTTTAATTGTTTTTCAGATATATTTTTTGCTTGAATTCTGCTGAGCCATTTGAAGCTAGGCTTGTTAGCTTCTTTTCTAATTGCAATCAAGTCATCAGTTGTTCTTTTATTAATCTTCTCGAATTCGTTTTGGCACGAATTTGCATCAGGAGGGGTAGCAAATGAGTGGGGACAGAAGTCTTGCATGTCCTACCAGCCACCGTTGACATGGCTGAAGGCAGTGGTTAAGTGGATCTGAGGGAGCAGGTTGTTGGTGATGATGTTTGCGAACTACCATTTACCCCTTGACTGGCTCAATTCGACCATTGGTCATGATTGTGTGGTCGTTGGGCTTGTGGTCCTTACCATTGACTTGGAGTTCTGAGCTCTGCTGCAAAAATCAATTGTTTACTGTTTATGTGAATTGGTAAAGGGGAAAGACTAGTCGTGTATGTGGAACATGATTGATTTGGGTGTGGCAGATGGATATGGTGTCTTTACATCTTGACATGGATTATAATGGATCGTGGGGGAAGGGTACTAAAGGATCTGGAGTTGATATTCAGAAACTTCGGACAATTGCCTCCTATCCTCAGTGGATGGTTTCTTGGTGTCAGGAGTGAAGTGGGACGCCTTGAACTTGTAGCCAAATCTTGTGTGTATGGGTGGCCCCTAGGTTGCCAGACTGGGGTATAAGAGGCGGAGTTTCTCCTCCAATGGATAGGCTCTTAAGAGACAAAAGCTTTGGTGGGTAGTGTTTTAGATAGAACGGAGAAAAGGATGCCTCCACCTGTGAGTAATCTACAAGAAAGCTGGTGGACCTCAAAGTTTGCCGTGCTCAGCGTTATATACCTTTTATATCGTGGGGGGTGGAATAATCTCACAAGGGCTTTAAGTATTTGGTGTTGAAGTCTCCCTTCAAGGACGATGTTGCGTTTGTTGGCCAAGTGGCTGACTTCAAGCATGGTTGATGGGGAGGGTTTGGCTGTTCAGTGGGGATGAACTGGAAGGGTCTTTACTGGGATAAGGTTGAATAAGGTGAATGCAGTTTTGGTAGATCTGGGGAGAGATTTCACCATGGGAGTTATGTGCTGTTGAAGAGGTTTGAGGGCATGCAGATTGTCCCTTCTTTACCTCAGATGAGAGGAGAGGGGTTTGGGGGGATGCTAGTCTTGGGAGCTTTTCTGATGGGTCTAAAGGCTGGAGAATAGAGATATAGAAGAACAGAGATGTGCCATGGAGGAGATCTCAGGACACTAGCAGAGGCTCCGCCTTACTCCAACTTTCCTAACACTCTCACTCATATTTTCTCATAGTTTAGAAACAGAGGTTTCATTTAGTGAGATGTCGCTGTGTGTGCAAACTGGTAAGTAAAGGGGGCAGGAATCATAAGAATTAATGAAATGAATCTGGCGCTGTTAGCTAAATGGTGATCGAGTTTGGCACTGAATCATCTCACGTCTGGAAACAAGTAATCGAGAGCAAATATGGGAGAGAGAACTCAGGATGGTTTGTGAAACTATATTGTGGAGACTGCTAGACTTGGGGATGGAGAGAGACTGATGGGGTGAAATTTCATTTAGAGTTTGTTTTCTCGTGTTAATTTCACTGTGTATTTTTACCCAGGATATGTTCATTTGAGTAATATGTTGGGATGTCATTTCATGGGTATGGCAGAGGCTTAAAATGGAAGTGGCAGAACAGAAGGCCAAAAAGATATCTAGGTACCATGCCATCCTCTGTTAGAGATCTTAATCGTCAAATAAGTTTGTGCATGTTTTTGCGAGATTATGATTGAGCTGCTTAAGGAAGTCTGGATCCTAAAAGCTCCATAGGTGCAATAAGGAGTACTGGAGTGATCTTTCGTATTATTCTTTCTAGCAATCACAGATGTTTCTAAGAGGGGAGAAAGGAGAGAACATAACTTAGGAGTTTCCAAAAATTGGGAAACATCTTTGAGGTCAATGACATTTTGAACTTGTATATCATAAACTTAAATTGTGCATATATGGAGGCTAACAAAGTGGCTAATAGGTTGAACTTTTTGGGCATTATTAGGAACAACATAAGGATTTGGGATGATATGCCCCTGTAGAATCTCTCCTAGCTCGATTGTAATTTGCTTTCTTGCTTTCCATGAGTTCTATCAGTATCCATTGCAAGAATGTAGAGCCTATGACACAAACTCTTCATTCACAGCTGCTTGAACCTTATTATCACATGCCTGCGCCGACGATACTTTTTTTTCACATTGCGATATTAGAAAATGTTATGTTATCAATTATACTTACTTAATTTTAGGGTTTCTTCTGACATTCATTATGCGATGTTGAGATAGATGAGTGGCAAGATAAGAAAGGATATAATTAGAAATGAGTACATTTGGGAGAATTTAGGTGTGGCACCAATAGGCGATAAGATGAGAGAAAGTAGACGGGTTGACCATATGCAGCGTAGACCCAGTACAGTACCTGTTAGGAGGTGCAAGTTAGTTCAAGTGGAAGGCTCAAAATGGGTGAGAGGTAGGCCCAAAAGGACATGGTTGGAAGTAGTAAGAATAGATATGAGAACTTATAGCCTCATTGAGGGTATGGCTTTTGATAGAGCAGAATGGCTGATCAGAATTCGTGTAGCCGACCCTAATTAGTTGGAAAAAGGTTCTGATGATGATGATGATTCGACATTCATTCTACCTGTTATATTATTTGGTCATTTACTTGAGTTATGTGCAAATACTGAAATACTTTTAAATAGTTTAAAGGACTCTGTTCCAGGAGATCAAATTTAGTGGGGTGTTAATTTTAGCCAGTTTCCAATACTTTCGCTTCCTAGCATAATCTTTGGGAACTTTTGTTTCCAACATTGTTATAATACAGATTGACCACAAGTTTTTTTTTGGGCCATTTAAGTTTGTTTTTGTTGTGGGGTGAAGGTTGAAGGCCTTGTAGGACATCAAACCTAGCATAGTTCATGCGTGCCTTTGTAAAAAGTGGACCTTTTTTGTTATTGGATATAGTTCCATTTTGTTTGTACAAAGATTATGATGGAGAACTTAAAAAGGCTCATTGCTTTGGGTTCATCCATCCCTTATCAATCTGGGATGGGGTTTCATCTATGGTTCATCTTGGTGTTATAAAGCTAGTGAAACAGAGCAGCAAAAGTCCACTGTATAAGAACCATGGATCCAGAACTTCTTTATGTGTTACCTTTCTTTATGTTGTTGTTGGGGTTGTTTCTTAAAGATCAGTCGATGTCAATGAGCTGGCATCAATTGTTAGATGAGTTATGTGGTTGGTGAATAATTAGATAATTAGAAGGGGCACATCTGTGTGTTGTATACGTCTTATGTTGAGTTTGAAGGGACTGCTGAAATATGCAAATGCATAAATATTTTATTGGATGTTACTGTTATATGTGGGGGCTGGAGTTTGTGGGTTTAGATAAAATAGTAACTCAGAATGTAGCTTGTGTTGCCAGGGAGAACTCTTTATTCACAGGACTGCACGGCCTCGTCTTCCCTATAAAGGCTTTTGTGCTATAGCGTACATTTCTGTTTTTTAGACTTGCATACATGCCAGGAAGAAAATTGGCTATAGCTTATTCATTCAGCTTCTCATTCTATTTGGCTTACACGCACTCTAGACATCACTTTTTTCTGCATTCTCGTATGGGACCATATGCTTTACCGCCTACAGGCAAAGAAACGGGTTCTCATACCCAACATCCTC